GTCATCCTTGAGGGAAGCAGGGTGAAGGTGGCCGATGATGCGGGCGACGTCGACATCGGAGCTCTTGAAAATCTTCCGGGAAAGAGAGGACCAAAGGTATAGGCCTCTTGACGATTTCGGAATCCCTCGAACTGGACCAATCGGCCATTGGCGACAAGGCGTAAAGTCCAGTTCTCCTGTTTGCGACTGAGCACGTCAATAAGGCGTACATCCTCACAATGGGACGATGATCAATCTGAAGTTCACGACTCCAAGCAGTTGCGATGACCCGACGAGGAAAAGTCAATTTGTATTCTTGCTGTCGATCAAGGTAAATGTCACCGGGAGTCCAAGCTTTGGGTAGAGTGTATCGAGCCTTGAAAGTGTTGGAAGAGGAAGGAGTCTCAACCGGTAGGCCTGTGGATTTCCTACGTGGAGAGCGAGAACGACGGGAAGTGCGACGATCACGTTTTCCTCGGCGGCGATGAGGTTCAGGGGAGCTGCTCGTAGAACGTCCGCGGGCCATGGTGAGCCGAGGTCGAAGTCAAGAAAATGTGGGGACGCGGGGGCCAAAAATTCACAAACTGAGAGCTGAAGATTGAAGGCGGCGGAACGGTTGAAATGCGAACGAGAGAAGAAAAAAGTGAAAACTGACACAGAAAGGAGGAAAGGTGCACTTTTTAGATGCTTCACATTGATCTGAGAGCAAAAAGGTACAGTAAATATCGAAATTCTTCTGCCTGTTGCTGAAATTGGAGACGTAGTTGTCGAAGTTCTTCTGCCTCTGGATTGGGGAGAGCGCTGGTGTGCGGAGGGGGTGCAGTGGGCGATGGGTGAAATGCTTGAGGTGGAGTAGTGGGGCGTGAGATGGGAGTGGAAGAATTTGGCCAGTGAGTGTGGATGGTCGCCGGGACCGGGTCGTAGGACAAGCCCGGGAGTTGTGGAAGAGGCTCTGTCGGAGGCGGGCCGGGCCGAACTCGTGGCGAAGATCCGGAGCCTCGGAGGAATGTCGACGCCGTGAGTGCGATCGACGGTCGCGATCGTGCCGAGTCTCCCATCGCGAGGCAGACCGGCGTTGGTGGGATCTGGTAGAGCGCGAACGTCGCCGATCATAAAGCCTGGCCAATGGAGAGCGCTCAGTGCGAGGGGCTCGGTGGTCTCGGGAGGATTGTTGATGTGAAAGAGGTTGTCTGGGGCGAGGTCGGGGAGCGTAGGGGTTGGAGGGGGGTGGGCCTGTTGCACGAGGTTGGGACGGAGGTTGAGAAAGTGGATTCCTGGGTTGGGGTGCTGCCAAGCGTGGGGGGGGAAGAAATTGCTGGTGAGGTGTGTGGGCGGTGAGGGTGGAAACTGAGGGGGAGTGGTAGTCCAGGGACGAGAGATGGGAATGGGACGAGAGACCGATGGAGGGTGTGTGTGCAAGGGACGTAGTGGAGGTCGGTGTAGAAGGTACTTCAGAACGATAGGAATGATGAGGTCGGCCTGCAAAGACGGGGATGCCGTGAACGGTAGTAATCGAAGAGGTAGTGGAAAGAGGTAAGCGGTCGCCAAAGTCCGTGCGACCCTGAAGTTCAGCTTCAAGTTGTTCTGGACTGTGGTGCACAATATGTAAGAGACCCAAGGCGGTGAGGAGCTCGTGGGTGTAGTGAATGGCGGTGTATTGACCCGGAGTGCAAGTAGTAGTGTGTTGTCAAGACCTTCGAGTTGTGCGCGGAGGTGTGGATGGGTCACCCGATCGAGAAGTGGAGTGGAGCGAAGAGCAAGAGGTTGGTGGAGAATAGTATGGATGTGGGCCAAGGAAGCATGTACATGAAGAAGTTCCCGATGTAGAACTGCTTGCGCAACGATAGATATACCTGGAGTCGGAGCGAGGCCACAAGGCGGAGAGGGCGTGCCGGACATGGCTTAAGGCAGGGTAGGATGATCGAATCGGATCGGATCGAACGGATTGCTCAGAGCCAAGGAGGTAAGACAAAGAAATCAACCTGTGACATGATTGAATGTGGAAGCGACTAAAGAAGTGAGGAAGTGAGGATAAGTCAACTTTTTATTCGAACGCCGGGTGGGAGGTGTGTGAGACCTACCGTGGTCGTGGACGAGAGCGGGAGCGAAAGCGCGTCGTCCTCGTCAATGTCGAAGCTTGATGTAGTACTGAAGGATAGGAGTGAGTGGTCGGAGTAGGAGGATGTGGTCCAGTGGTAGTTGTCGAAGTGGGCGTCGGAGGAACCGGCAAGGGAGAGGGTGGAGAAAGGATCAAACGTGGCAGGAGGGAGGAAGGAGAAGGAGGCGAAACTGGTGTATCCAAAGAGGTGGTCTGGTCGCGGAGCTGGGCAGTCAATCGAGTGTGTCCTCGGTCGAAGTGAGTAAGATGTAGTAAGCCCAAAGCATTGAAGAGTTGGTCCGTGTAAACAAGAGTATAGGTGGCTCGTTTGATCTGATCAATACTGGCGTCCAGCCCACGAAGGTGAGCAAGAAGACGAGGACAAGTGATGGTATCCGCGAGGGCAGGAGCCAATGTGTCCCAGGGTCCTCGTAGAATCGTGAGGATCAGCTGCAAAGAAGAGTGCATATGAAAAAGTTCCCGGTGTAGTACGGCGTGAGCTGCAACAGGTAGTCCTTCAACTCGCGCAAGTCCTGCAGGAGGAGAGAGTGATGTCGAAGTCGAAGAAGACATGGCGGCGAGGCGGCGGCGAACGAAAGAGGATGAGGGCGTGGAGAATAAACCATGAGAGACAAGCTAGAGCCAAAGAGAGAAAACAAACGAAAAGGAAAAGTGCACTGCCAAGGTGTAAACATGTGAACCGAAAAGGGAAGAGAAACCGTAGCTTATTTTCAAGCGGTCCAGTCGAGGTGGAAGAGTGAAACTAGGTATCCCTCGGATTCGAGCGAGGACGCCAAGGGCTGCCACCTCTGACCGCTGCGGTCACGTAAGGGCATGAGCCAACTTAGAATTCCAAAAATGAGACAAACATCCCACTTCTTGTGGCGTAAGCCATCTGCTGTCCGCTCCGGACACTTACATCTCCGGGCAGGGGAGATAATGACAAACCCCCGTTCGACGGGTCCACGGGAGGCACTCTGCGGGCTCATCCCGGGTTGGCACGAAGCCAAACACACTTAGGATAGGGTGTACTGAACTGATAGCGGTGCCACACGCCAGCCTAGGGCTCCATTTCCTAAGAGTGTCAGTAGGAAGCCATCGAATCCTGGGGGTCTTCAAAAGGAAAGGTGGCCCAAAGCGTAAGAACGAGGTCGGCGATCAGGTCGAAGTGATGGCGTTCCGTGCATGTCTGCAGAAGGTCAAGCGCAACTCAGCAAATGTCAAAAATCAAGCAGGTACACAATGCGGCGTCCCGCATTGCTTCACGACCGATCTATCACTGTCTTCGTTGGGCAGTGAGTGATAGTGGTCCACTGCCCCCCTGCTCAAAAGAAAAAACAATCCAACGGGATTGCTGTGATTACAAGGGGCACACACACACACACCTGTCCGCGATCACGCTCGCCCGCACACACATGTGGCCTCTTCTTTGCGGCAGGCAACTTTGGCTCTGCGAGGTACTCCACTCCAATCTAGCGGCAAGTGTATCCCAAGGCACCCCAAAATGAACGCATCCCGCCCATCTTGCTGACTCACCCTTTCGATGCGAGTCATTTTGTTTCATTCAGCCTACATACAACACAACGAGTCAATCCGCATTCTCATCGGGTACGGACGACTACCTGTACGCATCCGCACACATCCTTTTGAAGAAAGACTGCACTGAACCACTATCACTATCGACAATGAGCCAAGGCTTGGCACCTCATCAGGGTCCGCTTCTTCAAGGAAAAGTCCTCCCTGTGCTTCGAACTCCTTCAAAACATTGTGTCAGCCCGAAAAGCACGCCCAAAACATGCGATAAATGACACCCTCGAGCAGCTGTTATGACACTTTCATCACACTTCACAAAACACACATTCCGTGATTAAGGAGCTTGCCTTCATCATGTCTAAGTCCAGCTCTACGGACTTCCAACCTGCTCTTGACTTCTTTCTTTGTTCGTGTGCAAGACTCGGACGGTTTCATTCGCCACATATAATTTCATTGTGCGCGTCTGCAAAATGGCCTTTTCTCCTGAAAGCAGGACTCTGTCCCTCCTGCCAAACACCAGCATGGCAAGTGTGCCACCATCATCAAACCGTTTTCTGAAAACAAAACTGCTGCGCTTGTCTCAAACCTGGGGCAAGCCATCAGCTGACGCCTTTGAAGCACCTGTCAAAGCAGCACCAGTTTTAATGTTTGGCTGTATCCCCATAGATTAAAAAGTCCCAGTTTGGTTGACAATGCCTGTGAATCGTATCTTAACATGTGCAATGACAAGAGAAACCAACACGATTCAAAACTGAGCTCCAAACGTCGTCTCTTTTTGGGCATGGCGACCAAAGAGGCGTTTCAAAAGGTGTTTCAAAAAATTGGTTGACTTTTGTTCGTGATTTAATGGCCAAAGGGAAAAACACATCAAAAAATACAAACAAATCCGCGCGCAGTGAGAAGGACTTTGGATTCAGCATGTCCACAGTTGGACGAGTCTGGCATTTCAACAGTCTAGTTTCAACCATCAGGTTCGTTTGATTGGAGAGCCTGAAAAACTTGCTAAACTGCCTCTCAAAGCTCAGAGTCTATTGCAATCATGTTTCTTGGGAGTTGCTTGGAAAATGTCATACTCTCCCATCCTTTTATTGGCTTGACTAAATCATCCGAGCTTGCCCAGGTGATGCAATAAACAAGGTTGCATCGGTTGCTTTGCGTGTCCCTATAGCAAGTTATATAAAAACCATGTGCAGAGTCGGTTCTAGATGTTTATGATTGCCATCTTGAGCTCGAAAGGCCTAGCCACTTAAGACATGTTCTTCCAAACACAAGTTGAAAAGCTACGGAAACACTGGCACCTTGTGTTGGCATCAATATGGCATCAGTCTTCCAGACCAGGCCACAATGGAGCAAACCTTTTTGCAAGGAATGTGGAGCAAAGCAGCTCCTCTCACTCCACCGGCTCCAACCATCGGTCAAATTCCTCATTCAGCCAATCACTGTACGGCCTGTGAAGAGTTTTAAAGTCTTGCCAGCAAGAGACTTCATCCGCTCGCTCAGGACTGGACCAGATTGTGATCTTCAAGTCAAGCTTTCCACTTTGCTCGAAATATGAGGGCAAGTCACATTTGGAAATAAAGCCTTCGAGCGGGGGCCACAAATAGCGGCCGGAGATTGAAAGTCGATGGTTACAACCTCCAGCCATTGGTTTCTTGATTACCTGCAAATCAACATTCTTAAAGGTTTTCTTGCCAGGCTCAGTGACCAAATCCACCACAACTTCACTGGCACGGATCTTTGGCGCCCGCTTTTGAATCGGACGTGTCGATTTCGTCTTGTTTATGGCCTGACACTTGGAAACAGCTGAAGCCTGTAAAGTTCCACAGGCGTCATAGCACATACAACTGCATGCGCTCTTTGCGAGCAAATCTTGGAATCGCTTCAGTCTGATGCTTGCAGTGGTCTTCCACTGGATCTTCACATGCAGCACTAGCCAATTTTTCCACAAGCCCTTCACCAGGGAATCCTTGACAACATCATGAATGGCCAAGGCGGTAAGGTCTTTCACACCCAATCTTTGCAAGTGTTCATCCTTCAATCCACCCAAAGCTCCAGGTGAGCAGAACTTGGTTTCATAGATATCCTGCAGGTTGAGCACCACTTGCGACAGAGAGCGTTTATCCTGTAAGTGTTCAGGCTGTTGTAAACGCGAATCTCGGATCTGAAGCCTGAGGAGTGACACGAAGAGGACCTTTTCCTCGGATGTGCCCAAGAAATGCCAAATGGATTATAGGAAATCGGTGATTCTGTTTTAGGAACCGTATGGGGAATTCAGCTGTGGAAATAAATCTGACAGAAGATTGAAAAATACGTCGACCTTTGATGCCAACTCTTTATATAAATATACATAATACAAACAGCCAGGTCATGCCAGATTTCCCAGTGTAGCCTGGTGCTGGTCCAATTGACCTTCCTTTCACCCTTCAGCGCTTGTAGGATCTCGGGCCAAGAGGAGACAAGGCCGGCCTCATGACTCACATTGGTCAAAAGCCAAAGCTCGCTCCACTGAAGTGCATCCTCGGCAGGTTTCAAGCCATCAAACTCGGAGCTCACCAACTCCTGAACAGCAAGTGGTGAGAGACTCCTTCTTCTTCATGTTGCTTTCTTCACTTATCTCAGTTGTTTGAAAGTAGCCCGGTTCTGGCCAACTAAGCATTGTGCGCTGGTCTGAATTGGACATCTATGTGCGGTATCTGCCACCTGCCACCTGTTGGATCTCTATGCCTTTCAAAGGGATCTTCTTCACCTGTGTGACACATCCAAGGATGAGCAAGAAGTAAGCAGCTTGGCCCTTGAATGAAAAAAGGCAAAATACCACCGATCTGAAGAGTGCAGGCACTCCCCCAAGTGTGAGCAACCAATGTTAGTCCACCTGGCACCAGTTGTGTTCCCTTTGTCATGTTTCGAGGAGCCCAGAAAGCCCAACAACAACAACAACAACAACAGCAAGAGCAAGAGCAAGAGCACGTACAAGTACAAGTACAAATGCAACACAAGCAAAAAAGGCTCCTTGAGCAAGATGATAAATAGTAGTTAAGTGCAACAAAATCATGAAAGGCGTTGAAAAACAGACATGAAAAGTGCGCCCCTCGAAACCCACTCCTGCCACATCTCTTCAAAATGATCAATGTTCTTCAAGTGATCTTTCTTTGCCAACAGCCGCAAAGGTGCAACTTTTTGTTCAGCGCCTTGCTGCGCCGCTGTCACGTCCTCCGAGTCAAAGAATCCCTTGCCACCCAGGGAGTCTGGATCCATGCACTTGAGATCCGCTGCGCAATACGCTGCCACATAGGGCAGCACATCGACACAGGAGCGAGTGTACATCGGCTCATCCAACATTATTTGACCATGTGACTTCAGGGCAGCAGCCCAAATCTTGTCCGAGAAGACAGGCAGTTTGTCCTTTCCCATGTCCTCCGAATCAACCCGATTGGCTGTTAAAGCACATTGAAGCTCCGTAAATCGTTCTGATTCACTGGCACTGTTATTCTCCAAAATGAATTTCATGTCTGCTTCACCGAGCTTGTCCAAACCCTTTTCCAAGCAGCTGCCAGTGGAAGAGCACCGGAGAGAGTTCATGAGTTCGTCGTACTTGTAGCCAAGGTCGATCGAACCAAAGGTTCCTTCAGCATTGTGCATCAAGGGCCACCATTTTTCACTCAAGGCCTTCTCCATAAGTCGCTGATAGGTTCGGGCTGTGCAGGCCATGAAAGGCTCTTCATGCGTGCAGCCATCCAAGTAGGGCTGCCGGTGCTGGTCCAGGGCCTGCAAACACCGATCGACACTGCCCAAATGTTCAAATCCCCTAGGCAAGGCCGACAAGCTGACTGCCGGAATCAACGCATAGAGTGCACCAGCAAAGTTCAGTAAGACAGCACTCGTGATAGCTGCAGCAATGTTTGGGAAAGACACCGACAAAGAAATCAACAACGTTGCAGTGCTTGTTTGGATTGCTTCACGGCAATCATGACTCTGAAGTATTCCTGGCATCTGCATTTCAGCCATCTGCTGGACTCTTTGAGTCTGCGAGATGAAGTCTATCTTCGCACGTTGAAGCAGTTCCTTTTCCTGCTGATCTGCTTCTGCAACATGTCTTTCCAGAAGGGAAAGATGATGTTCTGCCTCTTCGGGAGACTTGTCAGACAAGTGCTCTCTCAACGCCTTTTCAACCATCTTTTCATGATAGCCTTCTTTTTCGGTTTCCCAGCCTTTCTGAGTCTCACTCTCGTAGGTTTCTGCCAGTGAACCGGCCGATTCGTCAACAGGAAAGAACGAGTCAAAGCGTTCTTGCATCTGCTCCCGAACAAACTCCGGTGCATAGCCGTAGCCGAAAACGCTACGTTTCACATCCTTGAGCCATCCAATGACCTTCTGCACCGCTGCCTTGATCTTCTTCCACAAAGCTCGCACCTTGCCGAATGCAGCGCAAAGGGTGCATCGGCCGCACACGGCCATTTGTCGGAAAAAGGCGGCAGGAACACCGAGATAAGTAGCTCTCAAAGTCGTAGACTTTGTTTGATCTTGGCATTTCTGTTTGTCGCTGTCACTCAAATCCTCGGAGAAGTCACAATCTTCTTCCAAGGCGGCGTCCACGTCGCCCCCCGTCTCCCATGGGATCGACTTTTTTGGCGCACAATAATAACTGACACTGAATCCAGGTATGGGGACTGGTGGGAAAATTCCCCAAGAGATGGCAAGGCTACGATCAACATCTACCAACCCACAAGCGCGGCAACTCTGCGAATTGTTCGACTGTAGTTTGGTTCGTTCGAGTCGCCGGGCAAAAGCACTCCCCAAAATGATGGTCAGCAACAGCTTCAACGCGATCATCTCGAGAAGTTCCAAGCCGGTGATGAAATATGTATTGAGATTGGTCAAAGCAATGAATTTAGCGTGGGTCTGAGCCCAAGTGGCGACTGGGAACACAGAATCACCAAGTGCCGGAAAAACAGTGACACAATTGCAAAGCCAAATGAGTTGTTAGTCAGTCATTCATATGTTTTCTAATGACACCTCTCCTGCACTGAGCCTACCCACAAGGCCAGCATCTGGGTTCAATTAATTTGGGCCATCTGGGTGGAACTTCGGGAGCCTCGAGTGAAAAATTACAGTCCATTGCGTGATTGCCACAGTGCATCCGATTTCCGTGTCGGTTGACGGATTGATACACCACATTTTCACCGATCAACACATCGATGATCGTGAGCAAAACAGTTTTGCCTTTCCCTCTCCTACTTTCGTGTTTGCACCACACATTCATTTGCAGCGCCATTGTTTCCTTTTGGGTTGATTTTCGTGTGAGGAATGATGCCTGCTGAATCCACATTGGAACGGGTCCATTAAGGGCGCTTTGGGAACGTGCATCGCTCTTTATGCGTGAACCTATTTTTCCTCTCAGCCTCTCGGGGCGTGCGTTGAGGTCAGGTCTCGCATCGCTAGAGAAAAGAAGGAGGTAAATGAAGAAGTGAAACAGAAGGTGAAGCCAAGACCAAGTGAAGCTTAAAGTGACACATATGGCGGCCAGCTTTCAGTGCTTGAGTGGAACGTGGCTGAAAGTTTCATTGAAAACCCACTGACAGTCGAAATATGTTTGCTGCAACATCTTGGCAACCAGTTGAAACAGGAAGGAAAGCAAAACCACGGCCGATGTGGCCCGTGTCAACCCGATGCAGCCGCAGAATGTGCGTCAATGCTCGTTTGGTGTCTCATTTATGAATTCACAAGAAACTCCTCACAAAGCTCGGGCTTTCTTTTCACGCGGGGGATGTCACGGTCATTTCCCCCCTTTGGTTTCCGTGGCATCGCAAGCACTTCCTAACGAACTCCTTGAGGTCAGCGAACTGACTGGAAGCTAGTGAAGATCTGTCATGTTCAGTCAAAAGCAAAGCGTGTTCACACTGCCTAGAAGGAAAGTCGCTAATATTAGCTTCGGTCGGAACTCTTGCGAACCAGGCCTTAGTATTGCAAGCGGCTTCGATTTCAAGGTGATATTGTATTAGCGCTTCGGCCCATGGTCCCGTTCCACAAGCTCGAATGAGTGCAAAGCGAACACTGTCGTTGTCGCCAAACCACACGGTCAGGTTGTGTCGGAGCCTTTGTCTCCAGTAAGCGAATGCAAGAACGGCTGCGGCGAGTTCAAGCTCGTAGATGATCGTTTCTTTCGAGCTGGCGCCAAAAAGTTTGCATTCATCAGAGCTCAAAGCAATGCCAAACCATTCAACAACATTGGCCTGGTCATCCACAAGCACCGCCCCCAGCCCACCTGTCTTGGTGTCAGAAGCGTAAGCAGCATCAGTGTATACATACCACTGCGCCAGCTCTCCGTCGCTGACATGCATGGGTTGGTCACTTTCAAGGCGAGCTTTCATTGCGAGCAAAGCCAGTTTTGTGTCCGCCTCAAGCTCCTTGCGTCTCGAATAAGCATGCTCTATCAACTTCTTCAAGGTCAGTTTCCCCAGCCGCCCATGTATGAAGCTGTCGGCGAAGCCCAGCCTGCCCCGGAGCACCAAAGCTTCCTGCTTCGTCAGACTGCCTCTTTGCACAGCACCAGATATGGCTGCGACGAGATCTTGTTTTCGCTGTGTTGTGTTCGAGACAAGCATGAGGTGTTGTTCCGACTTGCTGAAGTCAAACTCAACCCCAAGCGCTTGGCACACGCTGGAAAAGGTAGTTGCCTTCTTCCCTTCTTTTGCATACTGCCACCCGGTCAGCAGGAAGAGCAGCTCCATGCTTTGGTCAGCGGAGACTGCACTGGCCGGTCGAGACAACATCACAAAATCATCATAGAAGTTGGTGTTGACCAGATAGAGCCCTCTTGCCGCCAACGAATGCAGCATCCGAGCCAGGCGGAGGAAGCAGTAAACTGAGTGCGTAGCCCCAAAGGGCAACGTGACCAGCTGGTAGATCTCTGCACAACCTTTGATGTGGTTGTACACGCTGAAGTAGGCGTACTTCAAGTGTTCTGCGTGTATGGGGACCTGCCGATAAGCACTTTTGAGGTCGAATGTCTTGCCAACCAATGTACTGTCACGACCCCTGTTCTTGCAGCTGCGAAAGTACTTCCGGACTGTTGCGCCCAGGGTGTCGATCATGTGGAGATCGATTTTGCAATGCGTCACACAGGAGTCGTTGACCCCACTGATGGAGAAGTCGTCGATCATTCTTGTCTTGTTCGACTGAGCGAGGGGAAACCTTCTCGAGATCACAGCACCTGCTGGCAGTTCATGGAGTTTATATGGGCCTCTGGCCCAGCCCTTTGCAAGCTCCTCTTGAGTCTCTGACAGCACGCGTTGATCCAGGTCAGCATCCCCAGATGAAGTCGTCATAGCAAGAACGGCCTGGTTCCTTCTGTTTGCTCCGTATTCAAGCTGCTCAACTGTCATCAAACATGGCTTGAACTGTTGCTCAAAAATTCCACACTTTTCAATTTCACCTGCCAAAGTTGCTCCCGTCCTCAAAAACTTTAGGGCATCGATGCTTTCCAGCATCTCTTGAGTCAAAAGCAACCTTTTGCCAGCAGTGTTTTTCTGAACATGGTCGGGTCTTTGAGCACGATCTAGCATTTCTTGCGCTTCCAGTTCACTTGCTCTTTTGAGCCATTGTTTGCACCAATCCATCCTATACTTCACGAGTTGCTGATCTGTCCACACCGTGTGTCTCTCGAGCGCAATGTCAAGATCTTCTGGAATGCCCATGTCTATCAAGGCAGGATGTCCCAGCTTGCAAGCTTTCTTGAGAAAATTTTCAGGTGTCCATGGCAGACCAAAAACAGCAGTGAAAGGAAAATGAGCCTCGCGCACCTCCAACACCTCAGAATCTTGGCTACCCCCCCTTGATCGGGATTCGGAGGAGTTGAAAAACCGGAGAAGACGTGCTTTGCTAGGAATTTCAAGAGGCAGCAAACTGGGCGAGGTCAAAGACAAAGGCCTATCTATCTTCGAAAGAACGGAAAAGGGCACATCCGAGGCTGACGCAACAAGGGCGGTTGCCACGGCATCAAACTCTGGCACCATAGGTGGAATCTTTTTGCGGAAAGGTTGGCCTCCGACAGAAATGCTCGCCTGTTGTGGGTGGAGCAGCGGATGTGAAGCGATGTCTTGAATGCTTTCTGGCAACAAATGAAGACCTAAGTCCTGAGCCACCTTCAACACTATCTGACTCACAGCAATACACAACTTTCTTGGGTATTGACTTTCTAAGCTTGTAGCCCACACTCTCTTTCCATCGGGACCGGTGGCAAACCGCCAAGGAGCGTGGTCATGTTTGTTGTCACACTCGATGGACAGCTCAGTGATGGAGGGAAAATTGGCGACAAAGCGCGTCCACTTAGCCCGAGAACCTCCGTACATGCATACCTGAAAATCTGCACAATAGATTTCAACGCTCCTCCAAAGTGAAATGAAGAAACTTGTAGACCAAAAATACGAATTCGAAGGGTTTTCCATGGTGACCAAAATTCCTTTTCGGGTGGCCTTCTGGAACAATTCACATGCAAAGTCAAACAACTGATTGGCGATCTGAACTCTGCGCAACTCACTTCCAGCGAGGTCTGGCAACCCGTCAGGATGTTCACGACTGCGCAAAGGTCGTGGGTCTGTAGGAAGCAAACGAATCTCCCGAGCCCGGGACGCCGTGCCGCAAACCGGTGCAAGGTGTATCCAAAGCAACATGTCAGAGTCCAGCCACTTGTCAAGAACAGACCTATCGACATCACGTGTCAGATCAAGTTTGATGACACTGGATCGGGCCCCGGGCTTTTGAACTTTGTCCACAGCCAGGCTGCTTTGCATACCATATTGCTTTGCAATGCTGCACAGGATTGCTGAGCCAGCAAAAACTTCTAACATCCAAACCTGCCCCACGTGAATGCTGGCCCAATTCCGTGGAGCGTGTATCTGCCTGAGTCACTTTGACCCATGCTCATGGAGAGCGTGGGCCTGCTGGCACCTGGGTTCGGCACAAACGTGGAGGCCTCGCCGGCATCGATCTCCGGGCTTCACGCCCTTCTCACTGCACCCTGCAGTCGTGTTGTATGCGAAACAAATTGGATCGCCGCTGGAATTCTTGCGCCATTTGCCATGGAGCTCCTTTGGCATTGCTGGTGAGCCTCTGGGGCCTTTACCAAAGCCTTTCTTACCCTTTCCTCCTTTGCCTTTCCCTCCTTTCTCATGCTGTGGCTGGCTGTATGGGCTTGCACGCCTGTTCCATGTGTCACCGGAGGCATTCGAAACACGAGCGACCGGGGCCAAATACAAAACAATGTAAGGATCACTTCGCAGGTCAAGCAAAGCCTTCCCAAAAGGGTAACTGCCGTCCTCAGCCTGCCTGATGCTTTGAAGGGAACTGGCCAACCTTGCCCACGCTGCTCTATCACATTGAATCAGTTGCGCAAGCGCAGGCTTGCTGTACCCCGGCGGCGGGTCTCGGTGGATGGCATCAAACAAGAACGAAGTCCACTCCATGTGTTGAGAATGACTCATGATTCGAGCAAATTGTAGAGCAATGCCTCTCCGCATCATTGCATTGCTGAATTTGATCTCGCTGTCGGTTGGACTGTGCAAGTTCTCTTGATGCTTCAACACAAGCGAGCCTTTCTCCAAGCTCAGTTCTCGACTCTGTTTCTGACCTTGAACTTCATGCGTCCTGCTCACACAGGACGCTGGCTCCAAATATGTCACAACGTTCTTTTCATACAAAGCACAAGCTTTGTCAAGCACTAAGTGAGCAGGTTCGAACTCACCCTGAATGTTGATGCCCATGAGCGCTGCCTTAATGCTATTCATGCGTGCATTCCTCTCTGCGAAAGCGATTTTGCGGGGCACGCTGTCATC